TTTATTCACGTGTTAAATGTTGCATGTGTTAAAAATTAACAGCACTCTTTTCATCTTTGGTCAGTATGCCAAATTAAACATGCCTTGTATTAATGTTGAAATTCATTAACTGGTCTTTGGGGAAAAGTGGTATTCATATGTCTAACAGATCCTGATACCGGAGTTAAACTCAAGACGCTGGACTCTTGGGCCATAAATTCTTAATTTTCAGTGCAAATGGGCATTGCACAATTCATAACTTTATTGATAAACCTGGGAATCTGACCATATCCTAGAAGGTAGCAGTACTAGAGTACATCCTTGCTTTCCATTTTAGTCTTCTGTTCTTGAATTTGCAATGCTTCCTATCCATTCAGAAGTATCAAACATGTTAAAAAAAAAAAAAAGACCACATATATGCCCATCCTCTATGCAGATACAACCAGAAAGTTCTACCTTATTTTTTTAATCCTCATTTTCCTAATTAGCCTGATTCAGAGGTAGTAGAAAGCCCAAATGCCAAAACTAAATATCTCATTATTTAGAAAATTAAAGCCTTGAACTTTCACAATGTTACTAAAACTAGAGAAACAGATTTTGGGTTTCTTCAGCATGTACCCAGGGTATGTCAAGAGCATAATGAACTCTCATCCATTTTTCTGCCAGTGTGCTATCTGGACCATTTGGAAGTCAGATCTTCCCAAGGAGGCTGCTGGCATTGGTCCAGGCCATATTCCTGCCTGTTGCCACCCAACAGGATAGGGAAGGAAGAGGGCAGCATTTATCCCCGAGCCTTCTGATGATGCTCAAATATTTGCCTTTTTGGCAGCATTGTGCTGGGTGACTCAAACAATTTTTCTCCTTGGTCTGCAAGTGTGGCTCATTTAACAGTGTCCCTGGGGTCATAAATATCCAGGATTTCAAGGCAACATCTATATATACCACTTTGTGCCATTTCTGTTCCTCCTCTAAAAGTATGTATTCACCAATTTCACTGAAAGTAATGTAAGAGTTATGTACAAAGTTGCTGTTGTGGAGACCCTAGCTGTAGCCTATAGCTATGAGAGACAGGTTAAATAAATCTGGTATATCCACATAATGGAACACTGGGAATATAATATAGCCACTAAAATGATGTTTTAATGCCGTAAGAAAAGTCTTATGATAAAAATTTTTTTTTATTAAAGTATCATTGGTATACAATCTTCTGCTAGTTTCAAATACACAACAGTGGTTCAACAGATACCCATATTAAATCCTTATTCCCTCTAGTGCAGTTATTATAGATCAATGTAGTTTAGATGTTAGGGGATATGATATAATATTCAAATAAAAATGTTGTCAAAGTCTTATCTCTGTATGATCCAAAATTACCTTTAAAATATGGCTTTAAAAAATTACCTTTAAACAGTTGTTTTCTCTGAGTAATAGGATTGTGAGTACTTTTTTCTACTTTTTTCCTACATTTTTGTATTATCCAGTATTTTTATTGGGAAAGGGTAAGAGAAAAAGTAATTGTGGGATAAGAGTGTTATAGCTAATCAAATAAAACATGTTGGTCTTTCTTATTCTAGAACTGAATTTTTTTTTAAGTAAGAAAGTCAATCTGAGGTTGTCTCTGCCAGCTCAACTGCCCTGTCCTATGGACTAACAGTGGGTGGTGTTCCGTAGACGGCGATGACTGCTGGCATTTACTAAATAACTGCTAGATGCTAAGCAGAGATCTAACGTCTCTCTCCATATACACTACTTCATTTAATCCTCACACCAGTTCAGTGAGGTAACAATGATTATATACATCTTTCTAAACTGAAATTGAAGCATAAAGATTAAGTAATTGGCCCCACATCATGCAGCTACAATTGAAACTCAAGCCCTCTCCAGTTTGAATGGGTACACCATTTACAACATATTAGGCCCTCACAGCATTTAATTAGGACTATCATTAGTTTCAAAATATTTGGGAAATGAACTGACTGACAAAGGTGCTACTATGTATGTGTCAAAGAATCAGAGCACCAAGGAACATACAAAAGGACTCTCCCTACTGCTACCTTATGGAAACTCCACTGAAGGCCTTTTGCCATCTTTGTAGGGATGGAATCAACTACCTTAGTGAGGTGGTAATTATGTCACTTGTACTTTTCTTCTGTGACAACAGTCAAATACCCGGGCGCCCAGGGTGTAAGGCCTGGAGAAAAAAATACATCTATACCTAGACTGCCAACTGCCTTGGGGAGATAAGACAAGCAACACCATGAAACAATTGGCAAAAACAAAGCATAATTAAATGCTAAGTCATGTGGCAGAGGGAGTAACTAGTGTAGACATCATATAGATCATATAGGAAGAACTGTTAAGCTCCGAAGTATCATCAGTTTTAGGGGTACAAGAAACAACAACTGGAGATCACCTAAGACAACTCCAGCATTTCAAGATGAGAGCTGGTAACTTGGTTGAGGTCACTCGGCTGCTAAGTAGCAGGGTAAGGTAAAGTAACTAAGGAAGCTTGAGGAAGCAGTCAGTCTTAGAAAACCTTTCCAAGGATAAGTAGAGTTAAGACAATGATAGGTGAGATGAAAACAGAGGATCAATATTCTCCTTCCCTGGTTTAGTAAAGTCAACCTGACACTGGCCTGATTTTTTAGATTATAAGATTGTGAGTAGTCCTGCACTAAGGGTTCAGATTTAAATTTTTAAAATAATCAAACACTACTGTATTGTTTCATTCAATTCATCATTTTTAAACATTAAGTATTTTAATGTGTATTGCACTCCACCCAAAATATCACCAAATAGAAACACACCTACCCACATATGCATTCCAGGCACTGCTTCTGATTGGGACAGAAGCAGGCATCTGATGTCGTAAATTGGTAAGTGGGAATTAGTTGTTCACCTTTGATGCTTCCACCCCAACATTACTCTTAAATTCCATTTGAAGCACCCAATACTCTTTCTAATAACTGTTTATATAAAACCTGCCAGTCATCAAAAATTGTACCTAAATATCAACTGATTGAGTAACATGTTTTTTAAAATAAAAAAGATTTCTAAATGTAAATAGGCAAGCATAAAGATATTAAAACTAGTTTTAACTAAGAAATTTTGGTAGTGAACATAGCAAATGTGACTTGGAATAGGTAAAACTTCATAAATCTTTGTTCAAATTTGAGAAAACAAAACATGATAGGAAAACAAGAAGTCAATTTCGATGAATACTTTTTAAAAGTTTATAAATCAGTATCATCGTTCCTAAAATTAAATAATGTAGGTTTTTATTTTGTAAAACATACAAACTGCTTCAACTTCTGACAGAAAGCACACAGGCATGAAGTTATATTTTCTTGTATTGTAAAATAATAATTCCTGTAGGTTCACAAGCACAAGTTAAGGTTAAAGGTTATTTTTTTCTCTGCCTCCAGGCTATTATTAAGACAGTATATTGTCAATTCTTCAAGAATTATTTCAAGAGCTGTTATGCCCTCAATTAAATATAGGCCATTTTAGCTAGCGATACTAAAGTTCAATACAGTTCTTTCATTTTATTTTAGCTACTAAATTGCAAACTCTCATATAACCTGTGAATGCAGATCAGAGAAATAACTAGAACATGGCTTCCGAAAAGGTAAAAGGGTAAATAAATCATAAGTAATCAATATTAAGTCCATAAACAAAGTCATTTCCTAATGAGTCTCAAAAACAAAAGCAAATACAAATACTGGTGCTAGATGCTTTCCTTACAACTGTAGCCAAATCTGCTGTGTGGCTTCTAAGTTCCAGACAAGACCTTACTTTCAACCTAAACATTTCAGAACTGCAACACACAAGTTATCAGTCACCTCGTCCTACAGTCACGTTCAAATACTTTCCGATGTCTCAGGGACTTTAATTGGATCCGAAAAGCTAAGAGTCTAAACTGAGAAACAGAGAGAAACAAGTTTGCCAAACAGAACCTGTTAGCCAAATAACAAGCTTTCACACAGATAAATCCAAAAGCTCTCTAGCAATTTCCCTATATCAGACAGACTAAAGTGTATGCAAAACGTGCATGTTTGAAAGCCATCACTTATTGAATGCACTTATTAGAACGCTCTCTACTTACTTTGCTTTTTGCCATTTAAAAGCTTCATGAAAGCCAACCAGAAAGAACCAGTTGAATGAGGTTCAGCTCAGCTAGGAAAATCCGGCTGTAAACTCGGTCTACAAATTTACATCCCAGAACGTACTGCGGGGAAGGTACTCTTTACAAATGAACATTTTATACACAAGCTGTAGATGCTGAAATAATGCATTCCAGCTTTCTGCGCTGCGCATTACCACTGAAACCCTCAACTCTACCGCCCCTCTCACCGAAAAAAAAAAATTCACCTCCAATCTTCATTGGTCCAGATAGTTCCGGCCCACATGGTATCAGTGGGTGTGTCCCTCCCAACAAGTCCTCTCATTGGCTGCGAAGAAGCAGCGTTTAATAGTCTGTGATTTGGAGGGTTGTCAAACTCCACGCCTCCAGGCCTTGAGATCGCCAATAAACCCACGGTGCAGAAGGCTACTCTGGAATTCAAAGGGCAAGCTGGCTGCTGGAGCGTCAGTCCCCAAAAGAGGAGCTCTCTGAGAAAGGAAGAGCGCGAGAAGGGAGAGGGGGCAGCTCCGGCTGTTGGTTCTACTCTACCCCTACCTCCGGACCCCATTAAATGTTCCCACACGTGCATTTTCCCACCAACAAGTTAGAAGGCGGGCAATGCGTTCGCCTTTTATTGAGCCTAAGCCGCAGCTCAGGCTCCGCGTACAACTAGCCCATTCTACAGATGGAAGCAAACAAGGGTCAGGTTCAGGCAGCGATCTTTAGGGCTTGGCGCCCCTAGGGAAAGATCCAGACCCGGGCGCCCCCTCCGTCCACCCCCAATGGTGGGCGCTGGGGCGCACCGGGTGCGCTGGGGCGCCTGCCCCTCGGATCCCGGGCGTCGGGCCCCGAACGCTGCGCCCGCCTCGCGCCGGCGCTACCTTCCCGGGGGACTTACGCGGCCTGTTCTTCTTCCCCGAGTCCATCCTCCTCCGCAGCCGGCATTTCTTGGCCGGGGAGTCGTGCAGAGGGGGCGGCGGCTGCGGCTGGAGCTCGGGCAGGAGCGGGAGGCGCGGGGGCGCAGTGTCGCCGCCGCTCGCGGGGCCTCGGCTGCAGAGGCGCGGTGGGTGGAAGCCGTTGTGCAGCAGCCCGTTCACCGCGCCAGCGCCGGCGTCCGCGGGGGCTCCCGGGGCGTGCGGTGCCGAGCGCTCCGGCTGCCTGCCCCGGTCGCCCATGCCGGAGGCCGGTGGGGCAGCGCGCGGGCCCCGGCTCAGGCGGCCTAGCTGGAGGTCATTCTCGGGCGTCTTTATTTGCCCGGATCCTCCCTGCGGCTTCCGATTCAGCAGCCGCAGAGCGGGCGCCGGGGAATGGCGAGCCGGGCGCTCCTCCCCTCCTCCTACCGGCTCCCCCGCCTCCTCCGCGCCCTGGCCCCCACGCGCCGGCCCCGCCGCCCCGGCCTGGAGCATGTCCGCTCCGGGCGCAGAGCTCGGGATCCCCGCGCACCCCCAGCCGGGGCCCCCGCAGCCCGCCTCCCCTGGACCCCCGGGCCCCGCGACTTCAAACGCGGCTTCCTCGCCTCCCAGACCTGGACCTGCTACTGAGCATGCCCAGTCCTGCCCGCCACAGCCACCGACGAGTTTCAACATGGGGACTGAAGTTCTCTGGGTTTGCAAAGAGATGGGCTGGTTGGGCTTTGTATGGCGGAGAGAGCCGAGAGGGCGCGAGAGGATTAGGCAGCTTCGGGAGGAACGGAGAGGAAGACAAACATTTGTGCAGGTTTCAGGTTTGCTAATCCTGCTCCCAGTGGGCTCAATACCTTTGCAAGGTCATTCACGTTGCCCCCTCCCACCCGTGTCCCCGCTGACCCCTCCTTCCCTGCTTTGTGAGTGTGTGTGGTTGTGTGGTTAAGTGACCAAACTAGTCACAGGCCTGAGGGGAAGAAGAAGAATGATTATTTATAGAAAGGTACGCCGATCTAGGGAGGCAGGGAGTGAAATTTCTTTGCTGGCACACATATAGACACCATGTGGTCTCGTGGACTTGTCTTTTGCAGGGAGGAAACCTAGGAATACAGTGTAAGGACAGTGAAGGACAAAGCTGTAGACAGGATTAACCAGTGCTGGAAGAGATCAAGTAAACAGAAGTAGTCCAAGCTATAAAAAGCACTTTCCTCACCCAGAAAGAACTTCAAGAGACAATGTCATTCTATTTATAGAGTAAGGAGTTGCCTGTGTTTTAAGAAGGGATGGTAGCATTGCATGGTGGGCAACACCATAAGCTTTGGAGTCAGAGCTGGTTCAGATTCCAACTCAGTCACTGAGCAAACCCAGAGAAGGTCATTGCTCAAGTTAACACACCTGGCATTAGAAAACAGGACTAGGCATGTTCAGTAGGCAGGACAAATTTGGGTGGTGAGGACCTTCCCATAGTTATGTAATCCCTTGAGGCCTCAGCTTTTGAATCTAACAAGGAGCTATGAGACATGTACTT